CTAAAGGATTCTATGATTCTATAGTTGTAGACCCCAGCTCTACAGCTTTTTCATTTATTCAGCTCTACAGCTTTTTAATTTGAGCCACTTGGATGTTAGTATTTAAAAATGTATTTTTTTGTTTGTTTAACAGAATGACAATGCAGAAAATATAAGTCAACACATAAAGAGTTTGCTGTGTACACCAATAAAAGATGGGAAGAAGAATAAAGTGATAGGTAGGTATCTTTAAAGAAAATATTTTATGCATTTCATAGAAATATTTCTGTGCTCCACAGTAAAATCTCAGCAACATGACATCTCAGCCCAGGAGAAAACGTCTGTAATTATCATGTTTTCGATTAGTAAGTCCACTGTGACCTTGACTGTAAATAGTTTACCTAATAAGTTACCAGGTAACTACAACACTCTTGTGATACTTCACCATTTTTATAGCTTCTTTGCACTTGAAAAGCTTCTGTAAGTAAAATTATTTTCATTGCTTCCTGTTCAGAGGGTCAGTTAACACCAGTCTTGCTTGTGCAGATCTTTTATGAGGCAGTGGAAGGAAGAGAAGATGTAAATCAGTAAATAAGCTCTTTGGGCCTGGGCTGTCTGTAGTGCTGGGATTTTAGGGCACAGTGGTGGCATGTGGAAAGCCAAGCTGAACTGCATGGACGTTGACAGTCTTCTCAAATGAGATCCAGCTATGGAAGGATCCATACATTAGAAGGGTAGCTGCTGTGCAGTTTTGGTGCTAGAGATTGCCTTTTGGAGGTGCCTGCTTCTACCTGTGGATTACATGGGGAGCCTACAGTCCTACTGTAAGACACTTAAGTGCCTAAAGCTACCTCATGTAAGTATCTCGGCAGCATCTCCTTTGCTTTCTCTAGAACTGTTTTTCTTCTATTTTAAAGAGTTGCCATAGTACCATTGGTTTCCTGGGATAACATTTTCAGAAGCAGTTTGACATCACTTTGGTCCACATAGGCCTAGACGCTTATAGAAGCTTAGAACCCTGGCTATCTATTGTTCCCTGAAAATATTCAGGTGGCCATGGTCTGGGCCATTGGAGATTAACACACGCCTGAATTTTTTAAGGATTTGGTCAGGGAATAAACTTAATGAGCTTTAAGTCATTCAGTGAGTTTCAGATTCACCTTACCCAAAGGTATGATGACGTTTTTGGAAATCACCAGGACTACCTACTAATGAGTGTCAGCCTGCTTTCCTGGTTTCACTAAGTTCCACAAGCAAACAGAACATAAATTTTACTGATTCCTAGGTAGCTGCATGTATCCAGCTTCCTCAGCTTTACAAAATTCGGCAAGTAAATGTTAAGAGTTCCAAGAATGCATTTTTTTTACGTTCTCCAAATAATTTTCCTCGTGAATTAAGACAAAACTGCATGACCCAGTATATATAGTAAATAGGAGGTCCCTTTCCCGTGAAAACAGATCTTTCTTTTTTAACTCCTGAAGCAGAAAGAGAAGCATCGACTTTGTCTAACTGATATCAGGTGCTTTAATGAGTCATTTTATTACTTTGTTTTAAATATTTTAACAAACTCTAGAAGACCAAGATGAAGATTGAACTGTTGAGCTTTAATTAGAGGTATTTCACTCTGCAGTTTGCTGTCTCATCGTTTTTATCTCTTGTTATTTTCTGTGGAAGCTCAAAGTGAAAGTTTCAGTCAGGCAATGCATTCAGGTGGGTTTTTCAGATCTGAGATAATTCTCATTGGGAAATGTTTCGAAGGCTTCCCAGGTTTTGCAGCCTGCCTAACATTCAGATCTTTAATAGGTCAAGAAGTAGTCTTTGAGACAATACCCAGAAGTTCCTTTAGCATACTATGTACTAGGTAAGACTATTATTATAAGTCTGGTTTTTAAGATTACTATACCTAAGCCTAGAATCTGGGAATTGGGGTGTGCAAATGACTGTAGGGTGGTGAAGTGCTGGGCTTAAAACCCCCATCCCTGAATAAGGGTTGGCATATGGATGATGTCCACAGCCAGGCAGGAAAGCCCCTCCTGATTGGTTTTCACCCAGGGTCTGGCCAGCCTGGGGTGGGAACTGATTAGGAGATCACCACCCGGTGCCCCCACCTTCCACGCTTGGGGGGTGGAGGGCAAGAAGCCACCTCTATAAGAGCTGACTCTGCCTGCAGTGCAGCTGGGAGGTCTGGTTATGCAGTGTATGTGTTGTGTGGGGATTCTGGCTAGTAAAAGGGGCTCCCTGACTCTTTGCAGCAAGTAGAGTTCCCAGTAATGGCCAGACAAGATTGAGGCAGGAAGAAAATTATGATGCTTTCTCCTGGCAATTACTGTGTGATTGGGGGAGGACTGATTGGCTGGGTCTCTCCTTCCCCCTTAGCCTGGCTGTGGAATCCACTCGCTCCCTTCTTTGCCACATTGTGTTGTGAGTGAACTCATTCCTCCAGTGGTGGGCCACCTTGGTTCTCTTGCATGTGATCTAAGACCAGAGGGAAGGATGTGGCTCGTGTTGCCCATTAATGATAGTATCCTTCCCAGTTGTGCAATTGGTCAGCAAAAGAGGTGGGAAAAGCTGTCCACAGCAAAACCAATGAAACCTTACTGTCAAGAAAGATGAAAGGAACTTTTTTATTCTCCTGACTTGTGCATTTTTCACGTATGTGGTGAAAGCTTTACAGAATCTTTCTGTGGTTTTATAACTATGTCCCAATAAAAGACTTTTGAGATCTTTTCATTGATCTGTATGGATCTGTCAATGCTTTGGGTAAGCTTTTGAAAAAGGTTACACTTAAAGAGTCCTAAGCACTACACAGTATATTTACTGTAGTTCTCTCATTTCTTTTAAGAGACATTTACATGCATCCAAAAACTGTGTCTTTTAAGAATTCATTTGCTTTTGTGGCTTATTCACTGTTGAATCTTAATCCTGTGTTCATTACATCACAGTTGCTATGGAAATAATTATAATGTCATAAACTGTACTAAACAGATCTGAAAGTGAGTTTCATGAGATTTTCCTATAGAGTTTTGTAAGTCAGCTTCTTTTTCCCAGGGAAAGTTAATCTTGTTTTTAGTGAATCCTTATCTGCTGGGATTATATATTTTTACTATGGATCAAGTATCTAGTCATCTCATCACATTAAGATTCAGAATCCTGTCTGCAATACTCAGATACTGCAACCCCTGCCACAACAGTTGACAGCTACAGTTACAATACTGATTTCTTTAGAGGTAACTCTGACTCTAAATATGGTGTACTGACATGCTGGAAATACTTTCATATAAAAAATTATTAATACTGATGAACTTATAATAGCTGCTCATTCACTCTTGGTTCTGCTGTGAAATACTATTAGTTTTAATTTCTTCCCTACTCATAAGCAGAGAGTAAATCTGCCCTCCCTGACCTTACGGTGGTGAATTGTAAGGCTTTCAGATTCTGTTCATATATCCTGTGTAAATTAGGAGTAGCTCTAGTGAAGCAAGAAAACCTAAAAATTAAAGAGTGTTCTGTAAACACCATGCTAAATAGTTATCTTCTTTGCTGCTTAAGTATATATTTAAGATTTTACTTGTTCTGCTGCAAAATGTTCTTCATAAGATACATAAAGTATAGAAGCTGGTACATGATAGCAGTTTGTAAGAAGTGAAGATTTCTTCAGTTAGTAATTGTTTTCAGAACTTTGAATTTGCAACTGTTATTTTCATTGGCAAAATTATTTGCAGTTGGCTGGGAAAATGCCAGCTTCTATGTTCAAAGCTGTTAGTACTCAGGCTTATGACAGTAAGAAAACACTTTGACTCATTTGAGGCAATAAACACCCCCAAAGCAGTTTTGGCCAGAGACAACGTATGCTTACAATGCAGCTGCTTTAACTGATATTCTGATTTCTTAGCAGAAATGGCCACCTGCTAGGTGAAACTGAAGTGAGGTATATGTGTGAATCTCCTTCTGCTTCAAATGGTGTCAGAGATTTAAGCTGCAGCAAGGTTTGGTAGAAGTCACTTGTCAGACCTTTCAATGGCATGTGCACAGAGAAGTCCAGAAATTCTTAAGAGCAAATGAACAGATGCAACTGTCAACAAGTTTGAACCTAACAAGCTGAAGTCAGTAAGATGCTTTTCTGTGAGCTCAGCAGTCTTTGGAGCAGGCTGTAATTCAATCATGTCTGCATAGAATCAGTGAGTATACTTAAGCTTTGAGCCTCAGTTTAGTTAACTTATTTCAAAAAAATTCCAGTACTGACTCAAATAAGGAAGCAAAAACTCTGTGTACCACTGTTCTGATTTTCATAAATGTTCTTTTGGTGTGGTTACAAAAATCTAATTAGCCTCCAAAGGACAAATTGTCTTCAGGGATTAAATCAATCTAGAATACTGCTAATAATAAAAGTTAGGATGAAAATGACCTTAGAATATCAGAATCTCACAAGATAAGTCTGTAAAGCCCTATATTTATTCCTTTTTTTTTTACAAATCGTAATAAATACTTTTGAGTCTACTAAGTAATGCATAACGTTGTAGCATTTATTCTATAATACAATGAAATAACTTCAAAAAACTTCAGGGAGAATTCTGCAGCACTCCTGTGTGCTGCTTATATATATATTGTTGGTTTATGCTGTAGGCTAAACTGTCCTAGACTTAATTTTTCTCTTGATTTTCCATACAATAGGAGATGCATTGGCAGTTCTCTATATTAATTCTTCTAACTTCTGTATCCTGCCATAGGGGTTTGCCAGCTTGTGAATAAGATGGAAGAAAACTCAGGCAAAATCAAGGCTTTCAACAGAAATGATGAACAGTTCCTGGAAGCATTTGTCATCTTTTGTGGCTTGGGGATCCAGAATACACAGATGTATGAAGCTGTAGAAAGAGCCATGGCCAAACAGATGGTGACATTAGAGGTGAGCTCAAAATCTAGGTGGTCCTTAATTAGCCCAAACCAGATCCTAATTTTCTCCAGACCCTGTGTGTTCTATACATAAGTGCAGCTACTCAAGTGGATACTGAACGGAAATTGTTCTCCCCGAGGAGAACAGCATTTGGCCTGTTGAGTTGCATAGGAATTTTTCTGCTTGTTTCCATATCTGCCAGCAGACTATTTTATTTGGTATTGTATTTTACCTTGTCTTAAGAGATTTAGCAGTGAGCTCAATGAGTCTCTTCCTCTAGTTGAGGCTACACATTGGCATCACAGCGGGTTTGTTCTGTTGCGTAGGAAGAGGAAATGGTTTGGGGGATTAGGGGCTTCCTTTTCTTGTCTGAGATTTTCTGTGATGACTTTGGCTCAGTCCTTTAGACAAACCAGTTGGTGGAGTAACAGCATCATTACTGTAGGTTTCAGCAATTTCTTCAGACTCCATCAAACCATATGAAGATGAATGTCATCTGCTGTCAGTGTTTGAATCGGTTACTGTTGAGTTTAATAGCTAAAGAGGGCTTTAGTCTGAGAAGCTGAATTACTCAGAGGTGATAACTTGAAGCTGAAAGTAAAAAATTTGTAGACTTTGGATCTCCTAGCATTCTGTATGTAAACAAAGTGTTTGCAGAATTCCTAAAATGGGGATTATGTACCCCAGAGTCTCTAAGAGAAAAGTTACAACTCTCAAATAAACCTGTATTAAGCCATGTTAAATAAAAATGCGGTAAACTTATTGTCAAAACGATTTCTGTGCTTTAAAAAATAGAGCTCTCTGTTAATATGGCTAATTAGCAATTCTCCCTCCTACTGTAACACTTTATAGATAATACAGGGCATCCAGACAGATTATAGGTTAGCATATAAGACGGCTTCTTTACAAAAAAAGTCAGTGTTTAGTTGCTAAAAAACTTCCATAATATTTTTATGTCCTGTGTTGTCAACAGGTTGAAAAAATGTAAGTTTATTTTGTTAATTTAAAACAAATATATTGTCTTTCAAACTTTTTTGCCAAGTTTCAGCTAGGGCAAAACTTTCTTTTACGTCTGAATAAACTCCTGAAAGGATTGTTATGGCAACAACGTCAGGCTCATAATTATAGCTGTTTCATGTGTTGTCTTTGAAAGTGGGGCATGAAAACTTTCCAAAGAGAAAATCAAAGTTCTTTATTCTTTTATAGAAACTATTTACGTTTTCTTAACCTAATTATCCCAAGGAGATTCTGTGCTGTGGGAGGTTTGTGAAAGCTGCAAATATCTCCCCATATGCTTTCAGAGAGCTCCCTGAAAACCAGCACGGCCCCTGCATGGACGCTAGATTTCATCAGCAAATACAATGCAGTGCAGCTGCAAGCTGGAAATTCTGCTTTAGGAAAAATACTTTTTTATCACATTGCCCTTTTGTTTGTGCTAAGAGCTGCTTTTCTCTTTCTGTAGGTTCTCTCCTACCATGCTTCTGCTGCTGAGGAGGAAACGAGGGAGCTGCAGGTAACAGTGGTAATTGAATTTTTTACTATTACTTTAGAAATAGTCCATTACTAGAACAGCAAAGAGCAGTCCTTTTATATAGATGTAATCCTTCAACATGTAGAAGCACATCCTCCAAAAATAAAAATATGGCGAAGCTTAAACTGATTGTGTCCTGAGTAGAATCAATACATCACATAGCAGGATAACATTACAATGCCTACAGCGAGAGATGCAGGTTGGCCAGAGAGATGTATTTCGGGGAGACCCAGAAGTATCCCAACTGCCTTTCTCATCAGTTTCAGAGACGGTAATAGGGGATGCAGTGTTTGTTTCCACTCATAAACAGGTATTTCAGAAGCAAAATTTTGAGAACTCTTCTTTCTGCAGCTAAGGCTGAATGTATTTTATCTTTGGTACTGGTCAAGCATCCGAAGTACGGGTGCAGCTTTATGGCCCTACAGAGAAATATTGTATTTAATTGTTAATGCAACCTTTTTTTTTCAGTGGTTATTTTTCTGTGCAGTGTCCTGTTCTGCTCATGTTTAATTCTATGTTTAGTAACCACTGGCTAGAGAATAACTGCAGCTGTGGTCTCAAGTGCAGTTTAAAGCACAGCCTGTGCTTAGTCTCTCCAGTTCTCTCTGTTGGAGAAGACATTCTGGGGAAACACCATCACCTCTGCTGTATGACAACAAAATGGGAGGGATGGAAAGGAATGCAGACGTAGGGCACCACGAACTAGGTATTATGGGACTGGACTGGACAAGCAAGGTGCCACAGAACAAGGCACAGATTGACGGGTAGTTGTAGAATGGTGAGTGTCACACAGGTTTTGAACCTCAGTCCTGTCACGCTGTTGCTCGTCAGTGAGGAGGCCCTGACAGGAGCAGTGTGCAGCCTGTGGTTTCTCTCGCGTTGTAACCTCGGTGGTTGCCTTTTTAGTGCCAAACAAAACAGAACCTCTGGTTCTCACTCAGGCTGAGCTCTGGTTTTCCCATCTTCATCCCTGCACGATTTGGTCATGTCTCTATGTTCTGCCCAGGTGGCCCATCCCCGCTTTCTCTCTGTGCACTCTTTTCATCTGAGCTCTCCCAGGAATTCCCTGCTCCTCCATGCTGCCCTTTTACCATACCTGACTTCCTGCATGCCTGAACGGACTATTCTTGTGCTAGAGGCTTTCCTGGAAGGTAACACCTTGGTGTGTGAAATGAAGTCACAAGCTTTAGCTGTAGGTTTTTCAGTCATCAGAGAAGACAAGTTTTTAAAATTATTTTCTGTACTTAACCAGGTAATGAAATGGTGTCACGAACTAATTAATCACTACTAATTACTATTAATACAATGCCTGTAGTAAGAAATAGTAATTAGTCAAGTAAATAGTGACAGTAATGCAAGGAGGGGAATTAATTTACAACTTTTTTTCTTTTCTTCCTTATTTCATGCTCTTTATAGTATTCTTGAGGTAGAGAAATTGAGCAAGAGGTTGTAGTTTGGTCAGTGCTTACAGAAGCTGTCTGTAGCTTGAAATTAGAATAGCTGGTGAACTTTCATGCTATAAAATGGCAGGCAGGTGTCTTCTGGCTTCAGTAAGTGTGAGAGGAAATATCTAACCAGTCAAATAATACTTGAGAAGCTGTGGAGTGCAGGTTTTTATGTCTCAGCTGAAATGAAACTTGTGGCTGCCAAAGGCAAGAGTTCAAGGCAGGGAAAGATAAATTATTAATGAGGTCAGAATACAGGCCTGAGGTGTTGTGCTGGGTTCCTACTGTGTCCTCCCAGCCCCTTTCCTTATGAAATATCAGACTGCAGTTGCAGTTTTTTCAAAATTGTCATTAGAGTTCCTGAATGGTTGCATTATTTTGCACTGAACATAGAGGTCTGGTGGTTCCTTCACATGCTCATAGGTGTGAAATACCACATGAATCCAAACCAGGGAACACAAAATTATTGGTACAAGAAATGTAAGAACGCTGGATCTTTTTTCCTGTGCAAATACTCTTTTTCATAATGTTTTTTGACTTTCTGATTCTGACACCCAGGGGAGATAATAGCAAACTTAAATGGAACATAGATTGGTAGACACAGTTATGAGAAGAGGTGATTTGGATGCTACATGTGATAATACTGTAGATTATGACACGTGCTTCCTTTTCAGCATCTCAGCCTTCTAGGACACAGTCTTCCATGTTGAACTATTTTCCCCTAGAATTAGAAAGAGGAAGATAAACACAGAGGTTTATTTCTTTTCAACATTTCAGTTTTGCCTGACCTTCTTTTAAACCATACTCAAGTTGAGGTGAAACAACTGTAAAGAAGTAGCACTTAGTAATCCACATTTTATTTTACTGAAAAAACTGATACTATTTTTTATTCCATAGTGTAAGGCTTGCCATTTATTTTGTTACCATTTCATCTTTGTTACCAATTATTTTAACCTTAACATCTGTATTTTGAAGGGCAATTAATACCTATAACTCTGAATTTTATAAGTAGAAAAAGTATAGTTGTAATGCATTTAGTACACAGAGATATCACTGATAATAGAACACATTTTAAAAAGTATATTATATTAAAACATTGTAATTTCAAATTTCACACTGAAGGTTTATGATTGTACTCAGATTACATCGAAAACACTGTCCAAAGGTGTAAAAGATTACTGATCAGACATGAACCCTCCTTTTTCAGGTTTTTAGCCCTGAGAAAGCTCTGCCTATGGACATGTTCTGACCACTGTAGCAATAAATGTGGATTCTGTTAGGAATTCTGCTCTACTGACATCTCTTTCTTCACTATTTTTAGAATAATGTCAACATTTACAGATTTTGATTCGTGCACGTTCAAAAAACAACAAATATAACTCTACTGCTTTATTTTCTTAGTCTCCCATTTTCATACCTGCTCTTGGTTACAATTTGCTTTAGGTGATTTACAGAATCACAGAATGCTAGGGGTTGGGAGGGGCCTCTGGAGATGGAGTCCAACCCCCTGCCTGATCAGGACCATCTAGTCTAGGGCAGGTCACACAGGAACGCATCCAGATGGGTCTTAAAAGTCTCCAAGGAAGGAGACTCCACAACCTCCCTGGGGAGCCTGTTCCAGTGCTCTGGAACCCTTACAGTAAAGGAGTTCTTCCTCATGTTGAGGTGGAGCTTCCTGTGCTCCAGCTTGTGTCCATTACCCTGTGTCCTGTGGCAGGGTACAAGTGAGAAGAGATTGCCCTTTTCTTCTTGACACCCAGCCCTCATATATTTATACACATTAATTAGATCCCCCCTAAGTCTTCTTTCCTCCAGACTAAACAGCCTCAGGTCTCTCAGCCTAATGTAGATAACAGACTAACTAGGCAATCCTTATTCTCCTATCTATGGAAAAGTGTATGGTAAATCTAAGCAAATAAGGTAATGTTAAACAAAAAAGGTTAAGGGAAGATAAATGAGGGGTAATCATCAGGTTTCAGTATAATGTGAAGGGAAAATAGTATCTCACTGCTTCTCTGTTGACAAAGCAGATATTTATGTTTTCTCTTTCTTACTGCTAAATTGTGTTCTGTTACTCTTCTCTAGGCTGCTGTAGTACCATCTGCACAGTCTCTCAACCTAACTGACTTCAACTTCAGTGATTTTGAGCTATCAGATTTTGAAACAACATTGTGTACAATTCGAATGTTCACAGACCTCAACCTGGTGCAGAATTTCCAAATGAAACATGAGGTATGAATGCTGTCGAATGTTGCTTTGCATAAAGAGACAACAATTATTAGAAAATCAGGAGAATAGTGAATCAAATCTGTACTAGAGCGGCTGTCAAACTAGGAAGGTATGTGAGGTGGGCAGTAGGTGGGGTTTGTCCTCAGTTTGGTTATGCCAAATTATTAATAACTTGGTTAATGGATTGTAGAATACTTTTAGAAAGCATGAGGAGTGCAGCTAGAGAACTTGGTTAAATTTAAATGAGTTTGATAATGTATAGCAGTATTTCAAAACCAGCAAGAATAAACATAGAAAGACTAAGGAAAACAGTCAAATCCATACATTTAAAATGGCAAAGAAAAAAACTGCTCGTGGTAACATAAAAATATTTCACAGCTACTAGTATGAGAAACTGTGTAAAAGTCAGTAAGGTAGCAAAACGGGGAAAATTTTGTTCTTCACTGACAGAGTGGTATTTTAAGGCCCATTGTAGCTAGTATTTGAAGAAACACACAGAGATACATGTTAATTTTTAAAAATAACAGTTTAGGAGATTGAGCAAGGTTTGAATGAACTAAGTTGGTTTTCTCCAGAAAACAATTAAGGAGGGAGATGATAGCAACTTTTTAGTTGGTGAAAGACTATTATAAAGAGGACAGTAATATTGTTCTCTATGTCCACATAAGGTAGTAAAAGTAGTTAGCCTAGGTTTTCCCTCATAAAAAATTAGATTAGAGATTAGGGGGAACTTTATAGTTATGGAGATAGTAAAGACTGAAACAGATTATTTGTGCAGGGTGTGGAAATTTCCCTGAAGGTCTAGCCCGGTATTTTTATTTCACTCCTGACTCCTGGCCCTGGATTTAGACTAGATAATCTCTTAGTTCTCTTCCACTCAATAGGCAGGATTTCTTCTTGAAAAACCTTTGTTTTTAAGTACTTTGTCTTTGCTTTATATATTTTTCAACAAAACTTCCAAAATTCAGTATCAAAATGCAGGATTAATTCAGAGGGCTTCATAGGCAAACAAATTAGTAAAAAGAAAACAGATATTTATTTTCTATATCACCAGTTTATAGACCAATTTAGATTAGTAGTGTTTAAGGGCCAAAAGGAGTGCTGCATTACCTGGTCTGACCTCTTGAGCCTCCCAGTATTTTGTTTCATCTTTGTTGTAAGGTCAACTTGTACTTCCTTAAGGAATATGTCCCAATAGAAGAGAGGGAATTGGGTAGCCCAGTAATGGGTGGGCTTCTAGTTCCTAGTGGAGCAATTGCAGTGGAATTTTTTTCCAAACCAAAATAACATCATGACAATAGACACATATTTACATATCTCAGTAGAAGCAAGAGCATGTTGACAGCTTTGAAGCTACACTTTGAACTTCCCATGCCAGAGCTACAGAAAAGGGCAGTAAAAAAGGGCATTCCTCCTTTAACAGTGGGAAGTCATGGAAAATGGCTGCTTTTGTCTGTGTGGAATCATTTTTGTGGGTGAATGATACTGGGTTTTCATTTCTGTCAATACAACATCTTTCACTAAAACACTGATAATTTTCTTGAACACACCAAGGCCTAGATTCTCAGCCAGTATTTAGTATAGAGCAGTATGCTGTATCCATTTAAACCAAGGGATCTGTTCTCGTACACATCAAATTGCTATCTGACCTTCATACCTTTCACTTTTTTAGAAGTAAAGTATAACCCACAACTTGTAATACCATTGTGTACAATATTGAGGACATACTTTCATCCTGCATAAAGAAATACCACCCAGCAATATAGTAATCACTGTCTTTCTGCCATACTGATTGGCTTTCCAAAGTCCAATTCTGCTTGTCTTTTGACAAGCTGAGATGAGGGAAAAAACCCATATTCATTATCAGAGCAGCTCTTAAGAGAACTCAGTTATTAAGAAATAACTTTTCTCTATCAAATATATCATTGCAAACAAGGATTTTTTTCCTTCCAGTTAGCTCAGTGTAAGTTGGTTTCTGAATTAACAGCAGTGCATCTGACACTAACATTTAGCCAGTAGTGATAAAAGCCCAAACCCACAAGTATTACACACTCAGTGAGAGGCTGAGCTAGTGGCTGGAAGCATATTCTTACCTATGTTCACATGTACAAGTATGTTATATTTCAACTTAAATTGAGTCAAAAGGAAGGGTTTTTTTCTGTAAGAAAGTTTTCAGGCGGGATTAGAGAAAGATTTGTTTTCATAAACAGGTTTCTAATACATTCCCAGTTAACAATGTCATTCTGTTTCCTAAAGGTTCTCTGCAGATGGATTTTAAGTGTGAAGAAAAACTATCGGAAGAATGTTGCTTATCACAATTGGAGACATGCCTTTAATACAGCACAATGCATGTTTGCTGCTTTAAAAACTGGTAAAATACAGGTACATTTTGCTGATTCTACATTAAGAACCTCCTGGCTAAACGAATTCTGTAAAGACACGTAGTTCGGATTGCCCTGTCAGTAAAGTGTTCATCGTTCCGTGGTGTTGCGAGGGAAACTGAAAGAGTTCTGCTGAAGACTTCTGGCTTTAAGGGCTTGGCTTGTGAATTTGTTGTCATGTTGTTAAATACCCAGTTTCAGTTAAATCCTCTGGAAATGATCAGGTGGATGTTTCCAACAGGAATATCTCAAATAAGGCACTTGCATGATTGTGTGGGGATTTTTTTAAAGTTAGTGCTTATGTTACAAGGAAGTCAACAAAGTGGAAAAGGCCTGACCCTATTTCAGGATGTTCCCTTTTAATATTCTACAGGAAATTTTTTAAGTTCAGAAACAGAGCTGAGTACAGCTTTAGACAATAGAATATTTTTTGGAAATAAAGATTTAAATGCTCTTTTCAATGCTTTTGAACAATGTTTCAAGCAATAATTTAAATAATAATTTAATTAAAATAATTTTTAAAACAACCAAATCATTCTTTTTAACAAATAATGAAGGGCTAGATGATCCCCAAAATAAGAACTATACTGATTCAAGATTTTTCCAGAATATATTTTTAGGCTTTGGTTTTATATTTTTGAAGAAAACAAAATGTTTCTGTTCATTCTGAGTTAGTATTTCTTCCATTTTATTATGGACTACTGTTATTAGTTGTTTTATACTATTTTACAGTAAGCATTTCTGAGAGAATAAATAAATCCTATTTGTGAGCCAAAGCCCAGTACCAATAATGAAGAGGCATTTTTTTCCTTTACAAACTTTTTCTCACTGAAAAACAAGACAGAAAGTGCTGGAGGAGACAAGGGCATCGTCCTGTAATGAAATGGACACGGTGGGTTTGCTGTGTGCAGTCTAGCAACCTCTGATGTTCCCAATAGCTTGCTTGCTATTTTTTGAATCCTCTCTGTCTCCACTGCAATCTCCATAAATTGTTTTATTCCTAACTACACAGGATTCACTCCAAACTGATTTTCATGTCCTAGATTCTGGAGTCACAACAGCATTGAACACAAGTCTCTCAAGTTTCTCTAGTTTGAGGGGAAAAGCAAGCACCTGGGGACACATCTTCCTAGGAGAGACAGAATATCAGTCATTTCCAAACTGATTTGTCTTTTGACTAGACTAAGAACAGGTTTCAGTATCTAGAAAGCAGATGCAAATCTATAGAAGATGTAAATGCTTAAAGGAAATTTGGATTTGATTGTACAGGGCTAACAGCCCCCCAGTAGCAGTGCTGTCACTGGCTGATCTTCAAATGCCTGACTGCTGTGCCTGCTGTTCTTAACGCATTACAAAATGCTGCATGAATATTGTAGCTTTGTCCAGCCTCTGATTTTCACTGGAAAGATTCAAATATATTTTCTATCCAATTCTGTTGAATGATACTAAAGACACAAAACAGTCTTAATAATGAGTTGATGTTGCTTAATTTTGTTTTCCATGAGTTTTAAACTTCTGCTAATTTATTTGCCTGATGATCAGTGAAAAATGTGACATTTTTTCCTTTCTGATTATTACAAGGACATTTGTATAATGATTTTTTATACCTACTTAGGGAATGTAGCCCTACTGCCTTGAGGTAGTACCGAAGCTGAGCTAAAAGTCATGGGGCCAGAATTTAAAAAACATTCCTCACACTTTCTCTTTGCTGCAAGGAGACTTTTTGCAAGTCACTTCTGTACCAGTATTCACATTGGTATATAGAGGGTACAGTTTATATATATATATATATATACACTCTCTGAAAACTGCATTGAGGCCTATGGAGAATGATTACTACTGTGCACCACAACTCCAGAGATAACTCTCTTCTTCTCAGCATAGTGGTTTATGTCCTTGTCCTCCCTGGGCCAGAACTGTCTGCCGTGTGTGTAGAGACAACAGGGCACATATAAACTACATTGTGCAGAATAAAGCCACATCACGAAGCTAGCTCACTTCTTGTATTCCTCTTTACATACAGAGCAAATTGACTGACTTGGAAACACTGGCTTTGCTGATAGCAACTCTGAGCCATGATCTGGATCACAGGGGAGTGAACAACTCTTATATACAAAGGTAAGTCAGTCTGAGAGAAGTTAAATAAAGACAAATGTCTCGCAAAATCATAGAGCTACAGTACAACCTAATTAATGTGATGATGCAAGGCTGTACAAAGGAGCAGGTTTTTACGAAGCAGTAAGTGCAAGAACAGCCAGAAACATGCAAGAGTCCACAGCAAAGATGCACCACCTCACTTCTTGAGTAATCACCATGGCAGATGAAGTGAACTCTTTGTGCAGGGTCATTGTCTTCCTGCTCCCATTGCAGATGTCCCAACTCCCATTTCCCATGTAGTGGCAGCAACAGGTCCCAGCTTCTGAGGGACAGTGTGTAGGAAATATGCAGCTCTTCAGATTGATCCCTGCCCAATCAATTCCCTGTCCAGTCTGGGCCAGCACAGAGCTGAGATATGCAGCCATGTGAGAAAAGGTGTCTCCCTCCCATTTGGAACTCTGACTAGTTTAGTCATGATTTAGCCTTGTTTTTCCAGAATTTGAAGGTGATTTGGATAAGATACATACTTAAAATCACATTTTAAATGTGTAACTGTGTTGCATTGATTTGGGGTTATCTGTACTCCTAAACTTTGATCACTTCTGAAATTACAGCAAAATCCTTTCAATACAAAAAGTCAAAATGTGTTTTAAAACAACGTGTGTTTTACTAAACAAATACTTCATCTTGAATTTCTCATAATGTGATTCCTGTGCTATGGCAATGTGTCCTGGTCTGACCAGAGATGGGGAGAAGATACCCAGAAATACTTCCATATATCTTTTTCTGGCAGAGTTGGAGAGTGGTTCTGAAGCTACCTTTGGAAGAAGTGGTCTGCTGTTCTCACTGTGTGTAAAGATACTAGGGGAGGAAACCTTTGTTTGAGGGAGAGGATACTGAAAGGCAGAATATACCTAAGCTAAAGCAGAATTCCTGCTTTTTCAGATATATGTTCAGAATAACATTAAGACTGATGTGAAAGGAAAACAAAACCAAAAACAGACCACAACCCCCCACAAAACTGAAAGAGTAACCTTTTCCTCGTTCCCTAATAGGGGATTCCAACAGTAACTGAGTAACTGTAGCCTTGCAGTGATTGGAACCAGTTAGCTATTTTTTGCTCTATTTATTTAAAAATAAATTTCCTGGAAGACATCTGGAGATGCGTCATCTCCTCTCAGAAATGTCCTGGGAAAGTGTCATAGACAGCAAAATCTAACATTTGCACATGCTGTAAAGCAGGGATGATTAGAGTTTAATAATTCTCTTTCAATAGAAAGTTCCATGAATTTTATTTTTAATCCCTCGTGTCTAAATGAAAAGTTATTTTTTCCAGGAACAGATCCCTTTTCTTTCTTCCTTGAAAGCAGGGAGGGCGGATACTTAGCATGCAATTCTTTTCTTAAGCAACAGTGTTTCAAAAATTAAAATGGTCCTCATACTAGAAATCAGAGGAAATGAACAGCTTAAAGGTCTTTTCATAGAGAGGCAGGGGCTTTTTTTTCTTCTTTTCCCAAACCCACTTGTAAACTAGGCAAGCACAGGGTATGAAAAGTGCAGAACTAAACCACTGTGTTGAGGAAGCAGCAGTGTCCTTTAGCCTGGTGTAGTGCTGGAGCAGAAGTGGTATGTACTACACAAGTAGAACTTGAGTTCCTCAGTTAGCAGGGAGCATCTGTCATTCATCGCGTAGCCGGCACAGCCCCCACCCGTGACAGTTTCCAGCACTTGTGTCTTCCCAGACAGCCAGGGTCTGCAAGTGCTGAGCAAGCTCTAGTTTGGTGCAGTACTTGGGAAGATAACCTCAGATAGTTCTCACATATTTCTCTCTTCAGTCAGGATGAACTTTAGGCGACACAGCATGCATCTTGCTTAACTCAGTGGGAATTTCATCCAGCTTGTGTTGGCACCATCCTACAATTTGTTTCCTTATAGAAACACGCAAGCATTATTTGCTCTATACTCCTCTTGTAGTGGTCTCAGAGGAGGTGCTGGGCAGCCAGCCCATAGTCCTCAGGGGCTTGCATCCTTTAATCTCCCTTTCCGCATTTTTGTTTGTCTTTCCATCTTTCTCTCCACATTTTTGTGCTTCTTAAATCTCCTGTCTCTTCTTCTGAATTTTATTTGAGTCTCTGTGTGCACTCAATTACATAGGGACGCAGTCCTCCAACCACTAATTCATGTGAATGATCCTTAACCATAGAAAAAGTCCCATGGAGCTATATGCTAAAAATAATTTATTACGTGATTAAACATTTGTAGTCAGACTACAATTAGAGGAATAGATTCCGGATCAGCAGCAAAACAAACTTCCAAAAGAATCCCAATTTAGTTGAAGAGATGACATACACAACATGGGACCATGGGCTGCTGATGAAGATAGAGTAGCAAAAGCAAAGAACTGTATTAAGCAATGAGGAACAGAGGGAAAATAGAAATCCTTAAGAGAGGAGGAGTTTCTGCATTTTGCCTAAAGCTACTCAAACAGTAAATTCTATTTTCTAGGCTGAGATAGATTTAAATTCTGCATTGGCACAGTTGCTTTCATGCTGTTTTTCACTGCCTGTCGTGCAGTCAACATCATGTTTCCCTTTTGGATTTTACTCTGGGCAAAGGGTAGGTCACAGTACTGCAGGCGTTTGGTCAGGAAGAGAGTGGTGATGAATGAAGTACCAATACAGTTACTAACGCTGGGTAATTACTCAATCAACATTTTGGGCCCTGCACCAGAGTCCACTGAGATCAGCAGGGGGTTCCAACTGGTTCCAGTGGGCCTCTGATTAGTTCTGCATTATTACTTACAAGCTCAATAGTTGAGCTGACTAAATATGTCAGGCAGGTGTTTAAAATGTTACAAAATACCAAACTGTCCCTTAAATTTTGCATATGAATGAACCCTAGTGTTGTCTTGTCTTCTCATACAAGCACTTTCACTCTTTATGAAACCTTGGATTACATTTTCACTCCTTGAGTGCAGCTGGTCTCTAGAGGTAACAGAAGGCAGTAAACTAGTTTGTCAGTGCTCTGACAAAGTGATAGCATTGTCTTCTTACCAGTACTCCCCCTGCATCCTTCCAAATGTATTTGTTTTGTTGGGCCAGTTACACAGAAAGGGGAGAGGAACTGGTTAAGAACAAGGGGGTAAACTGGTAATGAGGACACTAAAATTGAAGTTATTTCTGGATTAGTAGTATGTTTAATTTGATTTCTTCATCTGATGGGTCTTTTTACTCCTCAGAAGCGAACATCCGCTGGCTCAACTGTATTGCCATTCAATCATGGAGCATCATCATTTTGATCAATGCCTTATGATCCTGAATAGTCCAGTAAGTGCCACAATTTCATGCATGCTAAAGAAAACCATCCCCTATTATACTGTTTATTTTCAGCTTTTGGAGAGATTCCTACTCTTACACATTCTTATGAGATTTTTATTCCTTTTTGGGTAAAGAAAATAAATGTAGCAGTTCTGAAATCCCAGTTCCATTGCTGGGTGCCTCCAAACCTTTACACGGGTTGCCTGATAAGGGAAGCCTTGCTAACATCCTTTTGAGTACCTGCTTGCCTGGACCAAAGGGAAAAAAAAAAAACTTTCTTGCCATTTTCATGACCTCTTATGAACCACCAAACAAACCCAAGCCCTTGCTCTCATTTCAGCAAACATTCCAGCCTACACATACACAAAGCAGTCCTGGTGAGACCAAACCAAACACTGCTAATGTTGACATTCCAAAGTGAAGCCAAACCTAAGTTAAGTAAATATGCAAATAAATTACATTCTTCTTCTTTTATATTAACTAATTCTAAGACCAGTTATTCAGCAGATATGATCATTTCAAAGCAGTATATTTTCATTCCTCATTTCACATCACAGATATGGTACTTCCAGCGTCATGTATTATAGTGATTCTTTCCTATTCAGACAGGAAAACACAGAAAAAACAATGGAGGCAAGTTGCCATTTCACCAGTTCCATAGTCCTTTGCTTTACCAGTGGGCTGCTGAGCTTCTATTTCTATGTAATAGCTTATTGTTTATGTTGTTTCAATGAAAATATTTTAATTTACATGAAGTATATGGACAAGTACTAGAATCTGTTATAGTTCCTCTGCTTTAGGGAATGGGGGAAAGAGGAAAGAGAAATGCTATGACACAGCTAACATCCAGTTTATGGACTCAAAGGCTTGCAATTTCATGTTGTAATAGTTAATTGCGATGCCTTTGCTGTGTGGCTTTCTGCCATTACTGAAGATGAGTGGAATTTTTATTTTTAAATTGGGGACTCTGTGAAAGGAAGCAGGGCAAAAGAATGACATCAGATATCAGCAAGTGACTCACAACGATTCAGCATCATTTCAGCAAATAGCGTGTTTTTACCCATTTACTGATAACACTGGTTTTGTTTGTTTGGTTTTCTTCTTCTGTAAAGGGAAACCAGATTCTCAGCAGCCTTTCAATTGAGGAATACAAGGCCACACTGAAAATGATAAAACAAGCCATTCTTGCCACAGACCTAGCACTGTACATAAAGTAAGTGAGAGGCAAGTTTGGTTGGCTAGTCATTGCTGGAGGTTTGGATTGTGTCAGCATTTAACTTTTTTAACTTCTCTTTAACTTCCTTTAAAGGAGGAGAGGAGAATTTTTTGAACTTCTGAGGAAGAAGCAATTTAATTGGGAAGATCCTACACAGAAGGAGCTGTTTTTGTAAGTAAAAGCAGAGTGATTAAGAAGTTGTTTATATTAACAGGCACCCAATTTTCCTTGCCATCTTGCTGTGAATTTCATTAAAATCAGCAGATCTGTGTGTGCTGGGCCTATACAAACTGGCACACAGGTACTGAATGATTCCCTGGGCCTACAACTGTTATAATAAATAATTATACGTATAATCAATAAATATTAAAATTATATTAAATATAATAATACATAGTTAATATTTTTCTTTCTTTTTTATTTCAGAGCAATGCTGATGACTGCTTGTGACTTATCAGCCATCACCAAACCGTGGCCTGTTCAGCAACGGGTATATGCTTAATTTTAAGATTTGCTAAATGCAGACTCCACACAACAGGTTCTGCTTCCTCCATCCAGTCCTTACTGCAAAGCAGTGGTGGAACGCAGAACCTTAGGAAGCAGTCCTTCAAAGTGCTATATGTGGGTTGAAGACTTTCTTAGGTCTTTTAGCAAGATCTGTGCATTTAGCTATGTCACCATGTTAGCAGTAATCTGAAGGTAAATCAGGAATTTGTTGCTTTCCAACATTTCTGTACCAGTCAGTTGGTACAACACACTAGTATCAGCTGACCTTTTTCTGTGTTGACTATTTCAACTGTTACCAGTGCTAAGATGCCTATGTGCCATTTTATTCACTTTGCTTTGTCAGAGCAAGTCCCAGCACATGCAGCTGTTCTGTCTGTGAGCAGATGTGTGCGCAGAGAATTCTAAAAGCTAGCTGTTAAGCTGGAGAGTCTGAGGTGGGGTGCCAATTCAATATATCCTAAGTAGACATAGGAAAGACAGGAAACAGTTTTGATTGTAGGGAACAAGCAAACTTGTAGAGTTCTCAATGTGTGAAATCTCTTGCAGATTGCTGAGCTTGTAGCTACTGAGTTCTTTGATCAAGGAGATAAAGAGCGGAAGGAACTCAACATAGAACCAACGGTAAGCGGCAGGCATGCAGAATCACTTCTTTCAAAGTGGCTTCCACACATGGCACGAAACATTCCTTTCAAAAGCCACAAATTCTCCCACTGACCAGAATTACAGGACTGACTCCTTCCCTGTCTTTCTAGTAGTCAGCTTTCTTCTGCAGTTCCCAAACACCAACAGTGTGTCATTATCTCTGAGCCAGAAGAACAGGCAACATTAACTCTTCTAAATAGGTCTTACTAAGCTGTCTTGAAAACATATTCCTGAATTGGTACCTACCTGCAACCTATCCAAAACCAGTAAGCTTGTCAAATTACCCACGGTGTAACACATGCACTGATAACCCTGCTGTGCTGAGCTTGCTGGGCCTTTTAAGGTGCTGCTTTTTAATTCCAGACTGCCTCTGGTTTTGCTTGTATTTTTTTATTTAATGTATTTAAACACAGAGCTTGTTTGCTTCTTATCTGCAGGATCTAATGAACAGAGAGAAGAAAAATAAAATTCCCAGCATGCAGGTTGGATTCATAGATGCTGTTTGTTTGCAGCTGTATGAGGTATGGTACCTAAGAAAGAACTGCAGATACCTAAAACCAGAACTGCTCCGTGGAGCCTCTAATACATGCAGATTTAAAACTAGAAGAAAAAACAAATTAAAAAATCATCCCTTAGTTATAAACCACTTTTTTGTTATATATTACGTGTGATTGATTATTCAGTTGACGAAATTATTATTGTAGCATTTATCATTAATGGTATGTTAGTCTGATTAATGTATTTTGTTATAATTATTTAAAAATTAGTGATAATTGCTGTGCTATGTGCTCTCGGTGTTAGATCCTGGGTAATATTCTGGATTCCAGCAGCTCCAGTGAGCTGCTTATCAGGGATGATCAGGGACCGTCACAAAACTAATGCTTTGCCATCTAGGAAAAGAATGGTATCCACATAATGCATCAATACAAAGTGTCATTTAAGAGTTTTAAAGAATTCTTTATGCAAAAGGGGTTATTCCACGTATAGGAAATTTAGCCAAGTTAAACATTTCCCATCCTGTTCTTTAATTTCTCTTTCATCACACACACACAAGCAGGTCAGATACAGTGTGAAATAAAACATAATGATTTCTGATTTTTTTAAAAAAACCAAAGTACTAGGGTGAAAAAAAGCACAGTCCTGTTCACTAGGACTGTAGCAAGTATTTTACAGAAACTGAGGTGACAAAAATAACAGTGAGAAACTGATAACCTAATTCTTAATAATCTCCCAATGAGAGGAACAAGGTGATCACTCATAGTTTTCCCTCTAACACAGTAAACTTTTCTAAGAAGAATCTGCTTCCATCTGTTGTAAGGAAACAAGGATACAGGAAGGAGAGGGAGCTACTAGCTGCCATCCCTGAAGCATGTTTCTGTGCTGTGGAAACTGTTAGGAAAATAAGGCAGCCTTTTCTGGGAAGCCTCAGAAAACTGTCTCCAGTAGGAGGTAGGCCACTGAAAGAAGACTGAGTATCTGTGGAGAGTTACAGACTATACAAACAGAACAGTCTTTGAACAGAAGACCTGAGCAGGTTTGAAAGCCCACAGCTCCAGAGCCTGAACTATACTTTCCCTCATTAGGTGAGGGATTTACTTTTTCATTTAGGAGAAGACCAGAAAATTTTCAATTTTTTACTCTAAAATATGCACTGCAGCTTATGTCAACAGTTACCAAGTGATACTAGTCCAAACAATACCCCGTTCCAGTACAATTCCTACAGGGAAACGAGATGCACAAGATATTTCTAGCTACTGTGCCCCTGCTTTGTAATTGCAGTTTTGTGCCTCAGTGAATGCAAAGCACCTGCAAATCTTTGGAGTCTTCTCTTGTCTCAAAGTCTGACCTGAACTGGAAGGGCACATAGCAGGCTGACAGTGTCTGTGACTTTGTGCAGACTCAAAGTGTGCCAGCATGCATCCTAACTTGGCAGCTGAGTGAGAGTGACTTACCTGCAGGAGTGGAGAGCGCTGAGGAGGATGGGGAGCCTGTGAGGAAGTGCTAAAACCCGTAAGAGTACTGTTAAATCCAAGGAAGGGGCTATGCTTTGAGCTGATCAAGTGTTTGTTTATTTTGACTGAAGTACAGGCAGGGGATATTACCTGCTTACACAGATTTTTGTTTTCTTCCATGAGTAATAAATGGTAAAACATATAAACAACTTCAGTTTTGTTACTCTGAAAGTCAACAAGCACACAGTTCACTCCCCAACGGTCTAATGCTATAAAAGCAAACAATGAAGAGGATTGGAATGACAGCCTTTTCACTGTTTTCTTAGCTTTGACCCAGTCAGTAGGGATTTGACACACAGTGCAAACAAAGATGAGTTCCCAGTACAGCACTGCAAGTATGTGACTTACCATGTTATCCAGAGTAGGTCAGATCCCAGTGAACCAAAGTTCTGTGGCTGGTGTTAGCTAGGTAATCAGTGCTGTTAAACTGAATGATCTACAAGTCTTCCCTTTAAGTTCAGAAATCTGAAAAAAGTAAGAGAAATGTGTTTCAGTCTCTTCATTTTTTAGTTGGAAATAAAAGTACCATTAGCAGTTTTAAATGCTATTTTTGTCTTCAGATAAATAAAACAGGACAACTCCAGAGATACTTGACAGCCCCATTCTTCTTGTAGTGCTGAAAGTCAAGCAGAATTTGATCAAGTCTGCTGAAACTAATGAAGTTTCAGTATTTTTATACATAGTTTATACAAACTATGAAGCCAAAACGAACTAGGAAGCTTTATATGACCTGATAATTCAGAAGGGTCCCTTTGTAAAGTTACAGGAGAATCAGACATTGCTACCTCGCATTATATGAATGAGACCTAAATTCCGTATGAAATTGACTGATTTTACATTTTGTATAGTGACCAGCAGAGAGGTCAGGATTCTTGAATACTCTGCAGTCAGTCATAGTAGTTACAGAATCAGTGAGCTCCAACATTCTTTCCCACACCTTGTTGTCCTGCACTGTCTGAAGTATTAAACTTCCACTTTACACTTCTGAGTAACGTGACTTCATTCCAAATGTTAACAAAACTCCCTGTGTAAGTGTCATAGTGTGAGAATACGTTTTCATCAGGAAAAACATACAAAAATGCTTACAAATTGTACCTTCATTTAATTTTTCAATTCTACATTTAAATATTAGAATGTAGTTTTCCTTCACTCTGATATAGTAGCACAGCCACATAATGAAAAAGACTTGACTGACTTCAGTCATAATTATTCCTGAAAAGCACCTAGTGTCAAATGTAATTTATCTGTCGTGTGCTAAATATCTTGAGTTCTAACATTTCTGGGTGAATTCTTCCAAATCAGTTGACACAGTGATCCCAGTGACTATACATGCTCTGTGTCTGATGAATATTTCAAGATTTTCTTTATGACCAGCCTTGTTATACATTCAAAGGATGGGCTTGCAAACAAAGTCCATGCATAGTACTTGAGTAGGAATGCTGGACAGGTCACTTGTGTATTACACAACATACTTGTCATGGTTCCTGCTGCATCTATGCATGGTGCAGGATGGATGCTGCTGCTCAGTCTAATCTGCACTAGTGCCAGGTAAGTATGTTCATGTTTGATGTTAAGCCTTCCTTGAAGTTCAAAATACGAGTTCAATTTCAATTATAGATAGACCTTGCATTTTAATAATTCTGGTATCTCTCATGGTCATCTTTAAGAATGCTTATTTTGTTACTCAATGTCATCTGTTTTACATGGTATTAATTTATTTCAGGCCTTAACGCATGTGTCGGAGGCCTGCTACCCTTTACTGGATGGCTGTAGAAAAAATAGGCAGAAATGGCAATCCTTAGCTGAACAGCAGGAGAAGAATCTGATTAATGGAGAAAGCAATCAAGCCAAACGGAACTGAGATGCCGATTTAACAACCACAAGCTTGAGTTCACATAGAAGACATAGTAATAAGGGAGTACTGCATTTTGCTAAACACTGTACGAATTTGGCTCATGTTTTGCCACTGCTGTATATGTTTTCACGTTTCAAGGTAGAGCATGCCCCTGTATAAGCCAAGGTTCTACAAAGATAGTATACTTCTTCTATCACACCTGATTGAGGTGGAAAGAGATCTGCCGTGGTAGTTTTTGCTCCCCCATTCCACAGGCATGAGTGCAGTTACTCAGCTGTCCCCGAGAGCCTATGACTTTATAGATGTATATAGTTGTTCAGTGATCATGTTGTGGCCAGTATCTTAAAAACTACTGCATTTCGCACCTTTTTTCCTCTTCAGTCTTGCTGTGTTATGTTATTCAAGTAACGAGCAGTCTTGCCTCTACTTTTCCCAGAGGTTCAGAGGAAAGAAAGAGTGGGACTAACTCCAGGGAGCCTAATCCAGCACACACTATGCTAACTTCTTTCAGGACACAGAACTGGGCTTTAAAGTGAAAAAGCCCCCAAGTCTGTGCACCCAGTAGTTTTTGTGGTGTTTTTGTTTGTTTGGTTTTTTTTTGGTTGGTTGGTTGGGGTTTTTTCCATATAACATGTTCACAAATGTCTTAACAGTTAGAGGGTTTTTTTAAACCCTGTGAATTACTAGACAGTGGGGGGCTTAGAAGTTTTGTTGTAGAAGTGTCATAATTATCCATAAATAATGGAAACTGCTTGAAGATTGATGACATATCACAAGGTAGCTGACAGGCTGCCAGGGAAGAACAGCTCCCATAGAAAGCTGTGAGAAACGCAGAGAGAAATGGAAGCTAACCAGGATCATTTTTATGTGCTGATTTTGACTTCATTTGGAAGGTGAATTTAATATTGTCATAACCAACAGACCAAATCACAGGCAGGAAGAGTAGAAGCGAATGTGACTGCAAGAGCAAGAGATGAAAATCTAAACCAGGATGGTGCAGGAATGGCACACTTCTGGTGACTGTCAACAACTGATTGCTTAGGCCAGTGCTACTATGAAATGCCTATGACCACTCTGAAGAAAGATATATAATTTTTAGCCTTAGTCAATGTTAATGATGTTTAATCACAACACCTTAAAGGAATAGGAAAAAAGAATACTGAAAGCAAAAATAGCTGAGAATGCTACAGAGATTTGCCGTTTGTCTGAGGCATTAACGTTTAGAAAAGTATGCAATCAATTAACTTACACTAGTAAAAAAAAAACAACACTGATAATTTATTTAAATGAAAATGATTAATAAAAATTGTTTTGAATTGGGAACCAATTGAAGAAAAGAAACACATTAGACAAATCCCAGGAGAGTAATACAGAGGCAGTACTATTCTTTGGGTAGACAGGATTAGGAGATTAATGTCAGCAATCTAAGACTGGTAACTTCAGCTGCACAGAGACAGAGAAAATGTGGAGCTTTTTAATCTGTAGTAATGATTTTTCAGTGAAAAATCAGCAATAGTATTACACAGAAGTAACATGTTTGGGATTGTACTTTGAAGTGTGGGAGTTTATTTCTATAACAGTAATTCAGAAAATTCTAGTTGGAAATGACAATAAATTCAGCTTCCCAGGAGATTATCAATCCCACTCCCCTCATAAGAGAGATCAGACAGACAGTGAAAACAACCTCTTTACATCAATCTCTGCACTGTATCAGAAGCTAACAAAAGATGAAGCAAATGTTTCAAAATATTTGATGATACTGAGTTTCATAATTTATTTTTTTTACATTGAATAAGGTATTCTGATAATCTGCAGCATTTCTGCCAACTGAAATAATTTGTCACTGATGAAATCCTATCTCAAACTTCTCTAATTACTACCAACATAAAATATAGAATATAACATATATTCTGTATATTAAGGCAGCTGAATTTGAAAACATTTTTCTACAGTATTTTTCCTGATGCTTTTCCCCTAGGTTTTCAAAAAGAGTATGGAATTCAACAATGATTTAGAATTTCAGGGCTACTGTTTTGCAGTGCTCCTTATGTGTATTTGTATGTGTACATGGTACAATATCTATGTAGTATGTTACAGCTCTGCAGAAAAATGACAGCAGCCTGTCACCCCAACACCCTCCCCACCCACCACCCCTCCCAAAGGTACTTTTTGATAAATAGGAAACTTTGCTTCAGGATTTGCATGGTCCTTGTATATTCTTTTCCTTGGAAGCTTGAGATACTGAAATATATTATTAGGCTAACTGATGAGATAAATATTTAATATAAAGATGAATAAAGTATATGTATATAAAGGTGTATTCTTGCTAGTACAGGTGAGACTAGTAATTCATGGTGACAACACAGCAAATCAGCTCTGGTGATATTACAGTGTAGTGACATATCATTTACATTAAGATCCTAGTATTTCTTTGCTGTATTGTGTTCAGCAGTTTTACTATGGCATAAATTTATAACTACTATGAAGGAGTGCTGCATTCCTACATTTGACTTGAAAAAATGGACATAAATGTCGCATTTTTTTCAAAGGTTCACTTAAAATGGAACACAGTTCTACAATGTGTGCATATATTTAATTTCATATCTGCACACATTTCTCCCACAGATTCTCTTCCACGACGCAGATTGGAACATACCTAGAAATACAGTTCCTAGTAAATAAGCCATTTAAATGTCATTATACATCTGTATATACTGCTACAAAACCACACCCTTTAAACTACTGGTTTAAGAACCTTAAAAGCATAGACTGCTGGAATTAGTGAAATTTCAGAGTGATCAAATTGTTTATATAGTGTTTCACTCTGCTGGAGGGCAAAGTCAGAGTGTGCTGGTTTTGTGTCAGAGCTTTGTGTGAACTGTTTGCAGAAATGGTTCTTTCCTTTCATAATGCAGGTAGGTGAAATAGGGGGGGCAGGGGGGAGGGGGGGAATAGCCAAGCTGTTTTCTGCCTGAAATTCATTGCCTTTAGAATACAGCTGTTCCAAACTCAGCTAGTGGATTACAGCCGTGCAGCTGCCATTAATTTCATCCCAAATTGTGGTTCTAATTATTTGAGTCGGGTCTCAACCATACTCTGCCCAACTTCCGTTGTCTAGCTAAAGCAATCAGTGTGGATTATATAAGAAACATGCTGAAGTGGTGTTTATCTTTTGTCACCTGAGTCTTAAGTCCATTAAAGCCATTGTGAAATTTGATATTTAAGTCTCCAGGTACAGAATTTGTTCCACTCACTAATTTTCAATACTTGTTTTACTGAAGACAGCTAAGTTAATATCCTACTTGTTCTCACACAAACATTTTCTTTTAAAGTCATTCCAAAGCACAGTTTAATGCTTAAAGTACATTTTTCTTTTTGGTTTTGTTCCCATTCTGAAAAGATTACTTGTCTTATGTATTAACATACACAGAATTTCTGATTAACCCTACCTGTTCTAATGAAAAATAACAGTGAGATTCTTAAGTTGTAGGTAATAATTCTTTTCCAGCAAGCTAGTCACACATTCAATATCAGCTGTAGAATGTCTAGATTTTCTATTATTACTTTTCACACAATAGAAGAAGGAAGGAAAAATACTGTAATATAGATTTTGGAGATGGTATTGATTTTTAATCAGCAGCAGTTTAAAGTTAAGAGCAGATTACTCTCATATCTTCACAGAATACAAGTGGTGTAGTGATAAAAGTGAATATCCATTGATGACCAGTTGATCTCTCTTTAGAGGAGAGGACTGAAGCCTGATTTTATGCATTACCATCCAGCAACTGTGTGCATGCAAAGATAAAATTCAAACTCCAATCCAATGCATTTTATCTGGAAGTGGCACAAACTGACAAAATCAGACTACTGTGTAATTCATATAAAAGATTTTTCAAAACTACTAGGTAACTGATTTTCCAGCCCATTACATAGAAAGCTTATGAAGTGTCAGCTCTAGCCCCTTAAAATTAGGGGAAGTTGCCTAAACAATCTGTGGTGCCTCTTGTAGTTATGCATGAGAAGATAGCAGAGAGTTTTGATTGAAAAATGCCTCACTCAAAATCATATGTTTTTAAAGGCTTTATAGAGACCTAGTATTTCAGGCAAATTTATACATGAGCTTTAGTTAGGAGTCTTGTCTCTGTGATGCTGTAAGTTTCTTCATGTCAAGTCACATGCAGTTTACATTCCACAAGGTTTCAGCTTTACTTCACAGCTCCCTGCTGTACTTCTTCAGGGACTTGCACTAATTTGAAAGATAAGCTTGAACATTGGAGCTTGAATTAAAAAAAAAAAAAAGCATTTGGCCAGAGTATGATAAAAAATAAGGGCCGAATTTTTGGGTTGGACTTTCACAGGAACAAGAAATATCACAGAATCTGGTCTTGTAATTAGTGACACTTGCTAAATTCAGCAAATTGTGATAGGAAGATAGTTTGTCTTTGTCATTGCTAGATGAATGGAAATTGCATGGGAAAGTTTATTTTCCACATAAAGGACTTTGTTTCCATAGAGAAACTCCTATCTGAGTACCACTGTTTGTAAATGTGTATGTATGTGACAATGCTATAGAATAGCTCCACTAACTTTCACAGCACGAGCTTGTCCTGCCAGGGCCTAAGGCATGCTCAGGTGCCCATCTACAGTCAGTTCCATGATTCCCATTTACCCCAGCGGGAGTTGAATCGAGCTGTATAGAAAGTGAGCAAATGGGTCAAATCCACCTTTTTTACCTATAAAGAGGGACCAAACTCTTACCCTTGGTAACGCCTGCCTCGCCTGCTCTTTCCTGTAGTCAGCTACTCCTGCTGATGCCCAAGGTACCTTACAGATGTCACTGAAGTTGGGATTTGAGCCCTCTATGTAGTCACATGGCAGACACCTGCACGTGTCTTATGAAGAATGTAGTGTGAAATGCACTGTAAATAGTTTTAATATACATTTCTATTATAGTTTAATAAAAATATTAAATCACAGTCACTAGCCACTGAGTTTGTCCATTTGTATTCTTTTATCTTTAAAAAATAATTGAACAAATATATAGTTTCTGGGCACA